GTAGCTAGACAGAAGCCAGATTTGACCTGTTTGAGGGGTCGTCCTTAATCAGGGGTGCATTTAAAAATAACCAAGTGAGCATTTCCAAAAATCCATATCCCAGGCACACCCTTACAGATTTGGACTCCATGTTTCGAGTGGGGCCTGGTTATACTTATCTTGAAAAACTGTCAAGCTGACTGACTCTGGTGCACACCGCTGGTTAAAATTCTCGCCTGCAAAGAATTGGTTACTGGAGGCAATTTGCTGTAATCTGAGATGCTATCATTACTCTGAATAATGTGGATGGTTCCGGGGAGATGGTATAGTCTAGCTCTCTACTTGAAAAGTAAATTATTTCTACATCTCTGCTGTGTGGTTGTCCAGCATCTGCATGAATATATGCACTGAAGGGGACATCAAGTCAAGTAGGAATTCAGTCACTCCATGTGAAAACAGAAACCTTTCTCCATATGCATCTGGAATCTGCTATGTGCAATTTACATGGCAGGGCTGGCTACATAATGTGCAGGGACCAGTGCAAAATGAAAATGGGAGACCTCTCATCTAAAAAGTACCAAGAATCTCGACAGCAACAACAGAGCAGTAGACCAAGTGACCAAGTTGGGGGCTCTTCTGAGTGGGAGTCCTGTGCTTCTCAGCAGGTTGCATGGCCATGAAGCTGGGAAGCTGGTCATGTCCACTGAGTACACTTCCTTTCATTCTTCATGTCCAATTTCTGTTCTTGTCTAAACCTTGTTCCTATAGTACCATAGATTCATATACTCATTCTGAAAGGCAGAAACTGTAACTAGAGATCAGCATGGGAATATATCTCATTGGTTAGAACATGGGTAATGATTAGGTGACCTGGATATAATAATTGTCTCAATGTGATACGGTTCTTTTGAGGATTAAATTATCTGGTTTGTGCAAAGTACCAAGAATAGTGCATGGCATGGAACAAGCTCTCAATAACGGACAGCTATTTTCATTCACTGGGAGCTATTCATAGTCTGATCTATAGTGTATGGAGGCTGCCATAGCCCATTTAAAAACTAAGCTCTGACAGCTCTTTGTCCATTTCCATTGTTCTACTGTCAGCCATTCTTCTTAAGCTGGTAAGGTATTCAGTTGGTGCCCCGACCTCCCTCTGAGTCTCCCCCAACCCACTCTTTACATGGGAGCCAGAGTGCCATATAAACACCAATCCATGGCAGTTCCTGATAAAATCCCCTTACTGTGTCCTCACCCTTTGCCTTCTGGATGGAACCCATGCTCCTAACTGGCCCATGACTGCGAACTGGTCCTCACTGCTCTCAGAACTGCCTCGCCATTCTTGACATTTATTTGCTTATTCATTTAATACATATTTATTGAGCATTTTCTAGTAGTAACATTTATGAAGTACTCATTGATCAGTGTTTGATCAATATTAGTTATTATTATTACTGTAGACCTCAATGTTGTTGTTGTTCAGTAGCAGGTATTTGCCAGCCCCTGGGTATTCAGAAGTGAATTCAAGGAGCGCAGTGCCTGCCCTTATAGAACTTGCTGCACAGTGAGGGAGACAGACATTTAGCACATAATTACCCATCTTCTGAGTCCATTAACTGTGCAAACAGGCCATGCTAACTGTCGCCCCTGGTTCTCAATCCCTTAGGCCACATGCTGTTTTATCTGGGGGAATGCTGTCAAGTTTCTAGAATGCAAGATACACATCTGACTCTGCCCAACCCACTTTTCTTAGGACTCGAGCATGGAGCATGATATCAGAACTGAGTGCAAAGGGCTGCCTCCCATCCAACTGTAAATCTGCATTGGTGAAGTTGGGCCTGGAGGCGAAAACCCTCTTCATTGCTTTTACCTTTCTCAATCACATAGTCTTGAACTGTCTATCAATAAAAGATAAGGAAGTTGCCTTTGTAGGTCTTCACATTTAATTCTGATTTTTTTGTCTTTTATGATATAAATATTCTGAGAAGAGTGCTAGATTAGGAATTATTCATTGATTTATTCATTCAATCAAAATGTATTCAATGTCTCTATGTACTGGGAAGTCTTCAGGGTAATAGCAGTTGCAGATGCATATAGACCTTATTCTCCTGCCTTCCACATACTTTAACCCATTCAGCCCTCAAGCATCCCTATGAGGCACATTACTACTTGTGTGCCCATTTTACAGGTAGGAAAAGTGAGACAGAGAGAAGCTAAATAGCAAGGCATTACGTGATGGAATTAGAATCCAAACTCACAGTTTAATCCGAAAGTCTATCACTCTACCTCTGCTCTAGAACACTCCAAATCCCGGAACCCATGGGACCATGAAAGAAAAATACCTGCTCTACTGCATCTTTTCTTTCCAGGGGGATGGTCCCACACCATGAGTGATAAATACACAGATAAGCTAATTTCATTCATAAAGATAGTGCCAAGGAAATGCAGACATACAAGAAAATAAAACATTCTATAAAATAGGATTGACAGATATGGGAAGGGTCTGGTTAACTGTTCTGAAAGGCTTCTCTGAGAAGGTAACATCTAAGGCAGGACTTGATGAGAAGTGGCAGAAGAAGGTCCTAATGTATAGAAGGCAAATTTAGAAAAGAGGAAATGATTTAGCCTGTTTGGAGGACAGAAAGTCAGGCAAGTTTGCTACGGTGGAAGTGTCAGGGTGTAGAGGGCGGGTCATTTGGGCACAGACACCACGGGCAGGACTGGATTCTATTCTAAGTGTGATGAGAAATCACTGAGGGTTTGAAACATTGAAGCAGGAGATTGATTTTCTCTTGAACACGTACTTTCTGAGTGGGGTGTGAAAAGTGCACTATGGGGAACCTGGCGCAGAGGCAGGGAGGTGAGTAGATCAAACCAGGGATGTTGCTTGGCTGGTGGAGGCAGAAGTGGTGAGAAGAGACAGGATTCTGTGTGTGAGTAAAGGGCTAGACTGGCTCTAGGAGATGAAGCAAAGTGAGAGCTGATGAATGGCCCCAGGTTTATGCCTCGAGCACTGGGTAAGTGATGTCACCATGTCAAGAAAGTGAGCCTGGCTCCTTGTCTGGCTCCATCCAGATGCATGATCTTGACTGTTATTTTGACTTTCTGACCTTATGTATCTACTTAATCCCTAAATTGGAGTTTTTGAATTGATGATCACTAGAGTAGCTTTCGAGGTAGCCCCTCAAAAAAACTATGTTCACATCCTAATAGCTGGGTCCTATAAATAGCACTTGATGTGGAAAACATGCCCTTGCAGATGTAATTAAATTGAGGATCTGGGATGAGCTCTCCCTGGATTACCCAAGTGGCACTAAATCCAATCACGTGTCCTTGTAAGAGGGGTGGTAGAGAAAGATTAGGCAGGTGGGAGAGGAGGGGCTATGTGAAGGCAGAGGCAGACATGAGAGGGAGGCAGTCACAAGCCCAGGAGTGCCTGCTGGGCCCCTGGGAGGTGGGAGGCTTGAGGGGTGTGTTTCCTATGGAGCCTTCCCAGGGAGTGCGGTTCCACCAGCACCTTGTTTTCCACTCTACCTCTAGAACTGTGAGAGAATAATTTCTGTTGTTTGTGATCACTTATGACAGCAGATCTTTGGAAACAAATGTATATCCAAGATCATGCCCAGGTGATCTTAGATCTGAAGCTGTTTGGGCAGAAAAGTTGACACTTACAGCTAAGATGCAAGTAATGGAAATGTTGAGACCTAAAATAACCAGAGTTCCATTTGATAACAAATGTTTCGACATGTTTATCTAGTTCATGTGTGAAGCATTTTGAGATGATCATTTTAAGCACGTGCTCAGTGGGCGGCCCTCTGCAGATGCCTGCACAGCTGCTGACCTGAACAGCCTGTCGACACTCTGCATCCCATTAGAGGCCCTGAGCTGTGGCCAAAGTCCCGCCTGTGACTGTGAGAATACACTCCCTCCATAGGGAAGCCAGCCAGACATGTTTCCAGAAAGAAGGGCGTCTCCCTGCCAGGAGGGTTGGTGGGTGGGTGGGTGAGAACAGTAACCTGATGATATTAACAAATGGGGTGAATTTGTTTACTTAAGTGGAGACTTAAACATCACTTCATTCTAACTGATCCTGAAATGGAAGTGAGCCTAAACAAATCTCAGAAAGCATTTCACGGCTTACTCACAAAAACTATCGTTTTCAAGTTGAGGAAACAGAATCCTCCCAGTCATTTTTCACTTTCTCCAATGGTTTATTTTCCTGCATTTTAATGGCTTATGTGTTGAGCACATACAATACTCAGCAGAAAGTCCCACACTTGGAGAAAACTTGCCTGGCACATCGGCAGCCCACATCCTTGTCAACTTGAGAAGGGAAGGTGGCACTGCCTGCGCGTTGGATTCAGGAGTCACCCTGTGGCTGCTTTGCGGTGCCCCTTCTTGATTACAAATATGGCAGTGGGAGATCTCTACGAGGATATTTAACTGGTAAAAGCTGAGTTTAAGTCTTTGAGCTGCAAGTCATTTAACCTCCCAATAGCTCTCACTTCCACCTGGGAAGAAGGATGAATAAAATTCCCTTCCCACCTAAGAGAGAAGCACAAATTCAATAAAGCAACAGCAACGGGATGACCTGGGAACAGAGAAAGCACCACATGCGCATCAGAGATGAACCGAAGCACGCTATTTTCATTTTGAGCATGTTTGTTTTTGTTACTGCAGCTACTAGTTGTAGTTTGGTGGCTCCTTGAGGATGGCCTAACCATCCTGTGAAGTCTCTGCAGGTAGGTTTCTGTGCTTTAATTCTCATTGTACATGGGCAAAAAAATATGGTCTTTAACCTCTCAGGCATTTTAAGGGTGTGATGGAATGAGACACACACTAAGTAAAGATTCACTGTTCTTGAGGAGCTTACAAATGTGGTTCTGAGAATAAGTGACTAGTTGGTGTGAGCATCAATCATGGCCAGGAGCAAGCGGAGGCAAAGAAGTGGCTGGTCTTCTCTAGGCCAACTGCTGTGAGCTCAAGGGTCACTGCTGATAGAAATGTGCCCCTCTTTCTACCAGGCTCCCCTGTGCGACAAAACCTCCTGTTTGGGAAGGACCCTTTTCCTGGTGCAGATGTCCATTTCCTTATCTCCATTGCCTTCAAGCTTTCTCAGGTAAGGACTTTGTAAATATACTTTATCTCAAGGTGGAAATGTTGGTCAAGATAAATGTCAGGTCCTAAAAAAATATTAACAGTTAATGAAGATTACTGTTTAGGCTGGGAAAATCAATCTCTAGTGTACCTTCAGATATAGCCTTGGAGAAGGCTTTTTGCTGCTGTTGATTTGTTTAGATGATGCAGCAGGTAAAAGACATGTCACATCAGGGCCACCACACGTGCGGCTGCTTTGGTTGCTTTGGTTAGAATCCCGCATTGCTCTTCATCAGATCCTTATTGAACCCTCATCCCTCCCCCAGTGGAGCGTCCTCATCTCTGGCTATCTTGCAGAGAAATCAAGTCACAGTTCCAGAGAATTCTGGTCGCCTGGCCAATTTTGCACTGCCTGGATCCTGTGAGTGATAGGAATCAAATCATTTCACAATCTGCAAACTCCCAGAAGCCTGATTCTTTGTCATGAATTCTCAATTTGCCTTGTTGACAGTTCTGTGGTTCAGATGGTAGAAGTGAGTGGGGAGCAGCTGCTCTGGACTTAACAAGGATGAGTGGGTACCCGTCTGGGGATGTGGAAGTGATGGGGGCTTGTGGGGGTGGGACCATGCCCCCTTACACTGTGATATGAAGGCACATGGACCTCTGCCAGAGCGATATGGTGTGAGTGAGAATTCAGATTGCAAGAAACCTTAAGAAATGACCAAGAGTTCCATGGTGTTTTGCATTTCCTCCTGAGACATCCAACTGAGAGGGAATTCACTCTGGGAGAGTTTGACCTGTGTTTCTGAAAAGTGGGAAACAAGAGGACTAGTTTGTGATTTCTACCCAGAGAAAGGGTAACAAAGCTGCCCTGATGTGTTCGGCTCCCCCACTGCCCCTTCCCCAGAAGTAGGGCAAAGCTGAGCGTGCTGTGTGCTGTAGGCATGGGAGGGAGCCAGAGGCAGGATGTGATCTGGACCTGGGTTCAAGGACTCCATGTGGAGGGGTAGGGATCCTAACAGTGAGAATCTAAGAGGTGGTAACAGGAAGTTGAGAAGTTGGAGAAGAGGTTAGAAGCTGCCAGCAGGACAGATCTTACTCTGAGGAGGGAGGTGGGGTCCTTAGTAGAAGCAACTCTGAAAAAACCCACTAACCTGCCCCACAAAGCACAACTTAACTCCTCCTGCACCCTCCTTCTGCAGGGAACTGATAGCGCATCACAGCTGGGCCTGCCTCTCAGGTACTAATAATCCTTTCCTTCCCCAGGCTGGATGTGAAAGTGGGTGACCACAGCATTTATTGTCCAGACTGGGGCACTGTTAGAATGAAAGGGGTACTCCAATAATCATGTTTAGGACTTTTCTGGGCAGACTGGTTTGTATGATTGTTCTGGGCAGCAGCCATTGGAGAGAGGAAGGAGAGGTACCAGGAGCCCAATGAACACCTGCTCTCCATCCACCCCTCGCTGCAGGCTTCTGTCCCAGAAAGGAAGGGGAACCTACTGCTGAATGAAATCTGGAGTTCTAGTATGGTGAAATGACATTGTTCTCATGACTAATATTGGCCGGTCCAGAAAAGCATTGCAACTTTCTAAGATTTCATCCAGTGTTAGGAAAGAACACCTCTGGAAATGTAGAGAAAGCGTAAAGTTGCTTTATGTGCCCACCTTATGAGTGTAGCACTTGCAGTAAAACACTATGGGGTCTGATTACAATATTCATGGTGCCCATGTAGTAGCTGACATTATGGGATGAGGAGGTAGGGAGATAGTAGCGCCCATGCTCTTCCTGCCATGCCTAGGACTTTGGGCTTCCCATCAATCCATCATGCTTTTCAGCATGTGCTCTGTACATTGGCATTCCTGGGGCACCAGGACAGGCACCTGGCTCCACTTGAAAGGGAAGCCATGGACATAAGGCCTGCCACTGGTTGAAGCTTGGCTTAGATAGTGCTAATGGCTGCCTCTGCTGGGTGGTTATCATTGGATCACCTGCTTCATCATTCCCAGTTCTCTCTCACACAGACTCTAAAAAGCAGATATGATGATCTCTCTTTCTCTCTCTCTTCTTTTTAGATAAAGGATTTGAGGTCAGGAAAGATAAGTGTACCATGATAATTTCCTCTGTAGCAGGATCAAGAAGCAAATCTACATTTTGTAATTACAATATCCTGTTCTTTTCACACTTCTGTAAGGCCCTGCTAAGCAAGCCTCTAGAGTTTCCGTGGGTGTGGTTTTGAAGGAGACATTTTTAGGGAAGCTGATATTCTATTGCCCTAGTGTGCCCTGTGTTAAAACCCTCTAATGGCATCTGTCCCTGTCGTAAAGAGAAATAAGCAATTGGGCAAGCTTGGAGACTTGGTGGTGGCATGTCATTTGCTTCACTAATGCAGCTGCTGTATTCTAATGCAGCTGCTGTGTTCTGGGGGTTGTTTCACCCTAAACTAATAGGTGAGAGATTAAAATTGATTTGTAACCTAGCACTGTCAAGGAACATCTCTGAGATGACTTTTGGGATCTAATCCCGCTGCTCATTTCCACAGAAAGGTTGGATGTCATTTAAAAAGATGTCAACATGTTTGTCCTTGATAGATGAGTTGACTTAACAAAAGCTTCAAGCTCAATATAGGTGGTCAGTTCATGATGAAGCCCATGACACTTGGGCCACATTAATAGGAGCAAGGTATCAGCCCAGGGAGGTGACGATTGGTGATCAGCCTGCTTTATCTTGTGCCCACTCAGGGATGTTAGTGAGATAAAGTCCATTAAGAAGTAGGTAACTAGCACTGTGAAGGATCTGGAATTTAAGTGGCGTAGTTAGTGTTTGAGAATTAATTACTGAGTCATCATCTGGGAGGAAAGAAGAAGAAAGCTGTCTTCAAAGTTTAGAAGGGTCCTCTTAAAGCCAATGGTATGGATTTTATTCACAATGTCTTCTGGAAATAACGGGTAGAAACCACAGGAATGCAAATTTCCTAATCATCAGGACTACCTGGTATTGAAGTGTTGCTTTTGGGGCTCTAAGTTCTCCATCCCTTGGGTCTGCATTGAGCCCACTGTTTTGTTCCCTAATTCAATCAGTTACCAAGTTCTTAGTGGCTTCCTCCCATCTCTTTCAAGCCAGCATTGCTATTCTCTCCCTTCCAAAGTATCTCGCATATAGGTTTCAGTGCATGAACACAGTTAGAGCTGGCTGTGGAGATCAAATAACTGGGTCCTTAACTGCATCCCACTATTTATTGTGACCTAGAACAACTACCCAACCTTTCCAAGCTTGTGTAAGTTGTGCCAAAAATATCAAATGAAAGCTAATATGATCTCTGCATGATTTAGACAATGCTATTTACTGAATGTTTGTGTCCTCCCAAATTCATATGCTGAAATCCTACCCCTCAATGTGATCATTAATTGGAGGTTATTTGGGTGGTATTTAGGTTATGAGGGTGGAGCCCTCACAAGAAGAAATTCTGGAGAAAGCTGTATGGCTCCGGTCTGTCATGTGAGGATATGATAAGGTGATGATCTACAAGCTGAGAATCTAATGCTCCCTAGAATCCAATCTTCCACCACCTTGATCTCTGACTTCCCAGCCTCCGGACTATGGGAAATAAAGTTCTGTTGTTTGAGGCATACAGTCTCTGGAAGCAGGTGTCCTTTTTCTATTTTTTAAAATACATGGGCAACAGCACCTCAATGCTCTGTTGTAAGCCTGACTCTACCACTAGACTGTAGGTTTCTTGAGGGCAGGTGCCATGTTGAATGAACTGCCTGGTTTAGTAACTATTGATGGAAGGAATGGATGAAAGAAATGAATAGTGACTTGTCATCCCCAAAGTCCCTTCTAAAGGAGCAGTGCTGGAAAGTTGGATTGTTGAGTAGAAGCTGGTAAAACAGGATTTGCCTCAAAACCCCCAGCCTTTCAGGTCTCTCCTGCATGCTAATGGCTCTGTATTTGTTCAGATTTCCAGAATAATATCTGAGCGGTTTCTTTCTGGAAAAGGTCTTGGAGTATATAAAGGCAGAGGTAGAGATGAAAGTTGCATCTTCTGTATCTGTGCCATCACTAAGCTATCTAGGAGAACTCATTGGAAAGAAGGCTAGGAATGCAGTGGTTGGGAGTGGGCATTCCAGAAGCAGATAGCTCTGGGTCCAACCTGAGTTCCACATGGAACCAATCTGTTCCATGTAACCTAGGGCAAGAGATTTAATAACTCTAAGCCTCAATTTTCTCCATTAAATGAAGCTAATTATTATTATTGGGACTAATTATAATCAACACAGGACCTCTTTCATAGAGGTATTATGAGCTTTATGAAAAAAAAAAAAAACATATAAAAAGCACTTGGCACAATTTAGCTGGTTACATTCATTAAAAGGCTGCCAGTGTTTTTATTGCCCCTAACTTTTCTTTCAAAGGGTTTTCTAGTCTGTATCTTGGAGTAAAAGTGGGGAGATTAGCTTCAGGTTAATCATTAATTCATTCTTATATTTGTCAACAGTGAGGTCTCATGTTATATGTCTCATGTTCTCATGTTCTTTAGGGATATAAATCAGATAAGAATTAAGCCCTCAGTGAGCTTCTGTTTTTACCTAAGAAGAGACAACTTCCTAAATTAGAGCATGTGACTAAGTGTTGCTGGGCCTCAATCATCTTATTATAAAATGGAAAGTTATAGACCAAGAATTAAAATTTATTGAGCAAAATTACAGTATTCTGTGGATGTTGATAACAGTGGCTGGGTAGCTAAAATGGCAGGATTAGAAATAAATGATGGAGAATTCTGAAGAGTGGAGATTATTGATAGATCATGGAGATGTGCTCTACATCAAGCTCATAGTTTTTGCACACACTATCCACCTCCCCCCTGGAATGTAACCCCCTTTGTTCATCTGCCCCTTCATCCATACAACTTCTGTTCACCCTACAGGACTCAACCTAAGCACATACTTTCACTGGGAAGATCTTCTCTGATCTACTTGTATTTCATTGCCATTAGCTTCTCATGCATGTCCTTATTATAGAT